CCCTTCCTCACTGCCCCCCGGGCCTCGCCGCCGATGTATTCCTGAGCACCCCAAGTGCGCCTGCGATCACCAGAACAAGCCGGAGAACATTCCAGCGGCCAATCACAGGGACAGGGATGCTGGTGCCCGGGGCGCTCTGCGGAGAGAGATCGTGGCGTTCTGAGGGGCGGGGCGGGAGTGACCATAACAATATATATATAGAGAGAGAGAGAGAGAGAGATTCACACATACAGATCCCAGGATTCCCAGTATTTACTAATATTTCCTAAGGAAACTCGTGTTCCCCTCCACTTCCAATATGTTCCGATCTGTTCATGGGAATCGACGTCTAATTGTGCCCGTGCCGATTTTTTCCCTCACGCGTCATGGCCCATGCCGAGAGGCAGAGGGCAGAACCACACGATGGCTGGTTCCCTCCACGCTTCAGCGCCAGATCGCATCGTTGTTTGATGACCTTGCGAGCGTTACCGCTGTCGAGAGGGCACGGCAACGACGCTGCCTCCTGTCCTGCCAGTGCCGCCAACAACGAGATTTAAACTCTTAGCTCACGCGTAGATGCTAGGCGCGCGCATTCGTGCATTAGCGCACCCGTGGAAGCACACACATACAAACACACACACACACACAAACACTGTTTGGCGTTGAGGCAACGCGCGGCGGCGCGGCGTAGAAAACGCGCACACACATGCGCACACATACACACTTTCATCAACAGGGCATGCTGCTGATCCGCCCGTCCGTATTTCCAGATAATTCCATATTTCCATACATGTCCATAGTAATCTGCGGGGAGCCTCAGACCAGCACTGTTTGAGCTTCTGCATCAACTATGCCTATGCTGTGTCATGACATGCTCGCTCGTGTTTCTGCAGTTGTCGTTCGCGACAAGAGTAAATCCGTACTCCGCATACCTTGTACTACGTATTTTGGCCCTGAATCTCCGCCCGGCGGGAGCGTGGAGGTTCAGAAGACGCTCCTGGGAGCCTTTCGTAATCACCTGAGTGGCCGCGGTGGCTCTTCCAATGGCCACCGTTGGACCCCAGCGGCCCCCCGCAAGCCTAGAGCCACCTCCAGTGTCTCCTCTAGTGGCCCCCCCCGCAGCCTCCAATGGCCTCCAGTGGCCTCCCGTAGCCTCCAGTGGCCTCCAGTGGCGCGAGCAAACGACTGTGGACCACTGGAGGCGCAGGAAAGCCAGGCCAACTGACAACAAGAGGCTCCCAGGATCGTCTTCTGAATGAAGGGGTGCCCATAACCCCCAGGGTGAGCTCCCGAGCCTTTCCTCGCCATATTCCTATCCAGCCACACACACACAGACACGCGCATCACCCCATGTGTCTGGAGTGGGAGAAACCGCAGTGCCCAGCGTCGCCGGGGAGATTGTCCGTCGCCGACTGTACATGAAAAGTAATACGTCGCACACTGCTTGGGAGGGAGGCAGAAAAAACGTAGAGGACGAGAACAAGAAGCAGGAAACGCAGGGGGCTACGACGAATCAGACCACGGGGGACAGCCTTCTCAGGAGCCACGCCTAGAACAACAGGCGCACTGGAGCGAATTGCGGATTGTGCCAACGTGCACCCTGCTCTCTGGGGGTGCTGTGAGACTCGCGGGGCGCGGCAAGGGCAGTCCGCGCGCGCGCCCGGGCAAGCCGGGCGACGGTACCGCGACTTGCCGGCGGCAGGCATGGACCACAGGGGGGACGGGAGGAGCGGCCGCGGGAGAGGACGGGAAGGCCAGAGCGCTCACGCGGAGACGCGCGCGCACACACAACACACACACACACACACACACACACTCGCACACGCGCACACTTCTTTTGGCGTCGGCGGCCAGGTGAGCAGAGCGACTGCGCCGGCGGAAGAGGCGTGGCGTGGTGGGCGGAGCGCGGAGTAGGCCACCCTGCAAGGGGAGAGAGGGAGGAGGCGGACTAACAGAAATGCACACACGCACACACACACACACACACACACGCACACACACACACACACACACACACACACACACACACACACACACACACACACACACACACACACACACACACACACACACACACACACACTTTTTCCTGTCGCATGCTGCCTGGGCAGCGAGGCTCTCGGGCGACAGAGGTCGGCCCACTCGGAGAAGGACGGCCCCCGCGGGGCAGTGGCCGGGCAGCGGCGGGGGGGAAGGCCGCGCCCGAGGGCGGCGCCGGGCCACGCGGAGCAGTGCCCTCGGGCAGCAGCAGGGCCGGGGCAGCGCCCGAGGGCGGCTGCGGGCCACAGGCCGCAGTTGGGCTGACGTGGGCCCAGGGGGGGGGGGAGGAGGAGGAGGAGGAGGAGGAGGAGGAGGAGGAGGAGGAGGAGGAGGAGGAGGAGGAGGAGGAGGAGGAGGAGGAGGAGAGGAGGAGGAGAAGGAGGAGGAGGAGGAGGAGGAGAGGGAGGAGGAGGAGGGGGAGGAGGAGAAGGAGGAGGAGGAGGAGGAGGAGGAGGAGGAGGACGAGGAGGACGGGGAGGAGGGGGAGGCCGACGCGGAGGAGGACGGCAGGCTAAGGTTAGGTCGGGCATGTCCTCCTACACGCGGATGTTGTAAGAAACATGAAAAATTGTCGAACAATATTCAAGCTTAGTCAGAAGTAGTAGAAAACATCGCCCCTGACTATTTTTTGACTATGTTTGAAGACTCCTGCTGTGGAGGGACATGCCTGACTTAAGGCTAAGAGGGGCCGAGGGAGGCACTGATGAATAGACACAAACCTCAGGGGCGCCATCGTTTCTCACGTTTTCTGGATTGTCCTCATCCCCTCCATTTCCTATCAGAGGCCTCGGCTTCGCGCCGCACCGCCGATGCATCGGCGATGCATCGCCGATGTATTGGCGATGCAACGGCGACGTCCGCGATGCACCTGCGCTGTCGGCGAGAACCATCGGCCTCCGCGTCAAGCCGCACTGGCGAGGCGTCCGCCGACCCCGCCTACCCGGACTCCATCTGGGATTTGGACGCCCGAAATGGGCACGGAAAGAATGGGTACAATACCCAACAACAAATGTTGTGCCAAACCGACAGCGGCCGCTGTTGGGCAGGTGGCCTTCTGTCTCGAATGGACACAGGCTGCGGCGGCGCGGACAGCGAGTCCTGTTCAAAATGAGCAGGAACTGCTGAGGGGCATTGTACCCATTCTTTCCGTGCCCATTTCGTCGTTCGTGCAGAATCTGGGAGGCCCAGCACTTCCCATCGGGGCTCCCGGAAGTCGACGCCCGTTGGCGTCTGTGCCCGCGCTTTCCCTCCCGAGAGGGGCGCGGGGCGCGCCGAGGGCGGGAGGGCCGCACAGAGGAGCGGGGCGGGCCGCGGGGTGGGCAGCCGGGGGAGGCAGCCGACGGGCGGCGACGCCCGGGAGGCGGCGCGCCACGCGGGCGGGGCTGGGCAACACGCACCCACACGCACACCAACCCACACACGCACCTCCTGCTCCTCCTGCTCCTCCTCCTCCTCCTCCTCCTCCTCCTCCTCCTCCTCCTCCTCCTCCTCCTCCTCCCCCTCCTCCTCCTCCTCCTCCCTCCTCCTCCTCCTCCTCCTCCTCCTCCTCCTCCTCCTCCTCCTCCTCCTCCTCCTCCCCTCCCCCTCCTCCTCCTCCTCCTCCTCCTCCTCCTCCTCCTCCTCCTCCTCCTCCTCCTCTCCTCCTCCTCCTCCTCCTCCTCCTCCTCCTCCTCCTCCTACCTCCTCCCTCCCCCTCCCCTCCTCCCCCTCCTCCCTCCTCCTCCTCCTCTCCTCCTCCTCCTCCTCCTCCTCCTCCTCCCCATCCTCCTCCCTCCTCCTCCTCCTCCTCCTCCTCCTCCTCCGCCTCCTCCTCCTCCTCCTCCTCCTCATCCTCCTCCTCCTCCTCCTCCTCCTCCTTCCTCCCCTCCCCCTCCCCCTCCCCCCCCCCTCCCCCCCTCCTTCCTCTTCCTCCTCCGCCCCTCCTCCCCTCCTCCTCCTCCTCCTCCTCCTCCTCCTCCCCTCCTCTCCTCCTCCTCCTCCCTCCTCCTCCTCCTCCTCCTCCTCCTCCTCCTCCTCCTCCTCCTCCTCCTCCCCTCCTCCCCCCTCCTCCTCCTCCTCCTCCTCCTCCCTCCTCCTCCTCCTCCTCCTCCTCCTCCTCCTCCTCCTCCTCCTCCTCCTCCTCCTCCTCCTCCTCCTCCTCCTCCTCCACACACACATTCACCCCAAACGCAAGCATTTTGGCGTCGCAGCCACGCGCGCAGCAGCACGGCAAAGTCAGCGGAGGGGGGTCGACGGAAGCGCGCGGACTGGCCCAGCTCACGCAGCCGCAGCAGGGGCCTGCATGGGCCACCCAGAGGGGACCTCGCGACATGACTCGCGGGGGCGGGGAGCCGAGGGGGGGAAGGCGCGACCGAGGTGGTTGTGGCATGAGTCGGTGGCAGACGTCAAATGACGTGAAAGTGCAGCGGCGCAGAAACACACACACACACACTTTCACACACACACAGTTACGCACTTGTGACACGACAACGCATGCACGCATGTATCTCCCATGCAGGCGCACTTGCACGTACGTGCCCATGCGATGCACATGAATGCGTGTGCATGCACACAGATGCCATTCAATACACGCAAACACATGCATACGGATGCGTACAAGACGTGCCCCCTCAGACCTCAGCTTTCCGATGCGCCCTGATCACTCTCGTTTTGGCTGCCTGAAGATAATTTCAAAAATAGAGCGAACCAATGTCAAGCATCACCTGCACGTCCCCAAGCAGGGAGTCAACACTCACTCATCTCATGCATGGGTTGGCGCCCTACTAGCGCAACAACCCCTCACTGGAGTCCATGAAATGACACCTGATGGCAGTCAGACTGCTCTCACGCACATTCAGGGGCAGCCATTCTGAAGGGCATCACTCGTTGGCGCAGTGGCCCAACAAGGCATGGACTCGATCGCACAGATGAGAGGCCAACTATTCCAGGTCGCTATTCGGCGGGTTTGCCAATAGCACTGGCACGCTACACGCTGAAGAGAGTCAGGCACATGTCCGCAAGCTCTGCGGCAATGGGAGAGTACCATGGCCGCTATTTAAGTGCCAGCCGTGGTCGGTCAAGTACTCCTCGTTCAGCTCGTTCACGTCACTGGACTTCCCGATGATCTGGGGCCAATCTTGAAGAAGCACCGGCAGGCAAGGATCTGGGCTCGACGCGCTCTTGTTGCCGAGCTCGTTCTCGAAGACCTGCCAGAAGACAGGATCCTGCAGGAGACATGCAAAGTGCTCGAGCCCGGGACCGACCTGCCCAGGGAACTGCGGGGCGTGCACGCCGGTGGTGTCTCCCACCGCCTGCTGCATCTGCAGGTCGACCAGCGCCTTCGTCTGCGCGAGCCTCCCCGTGCGCTCCGTGAGAGATGCCTTCTCGTGCGCATCGGTCACGAGCTGCGTTCGGATGTGTGCGTGGTTGGCGAAGTACTCCAACATGGCAAGTGCAACGGACCGAATATGGAATTCTACCCAGCCAGACCCCTGGGCAACCTGCACCGCCTTGACTGCACCAAACTGCGTGAACAAGCATAGGAGCTCGTTCTCTGTCACTTCTGCGGGAAAACCACAGAATGCGACCGTGTGGAACTTCCCTTGCTGGTCCTTGCTCGTTATCTTGCAGCTCAGATTTTCTTCTGCTTGCAAACACCAATTCGCTGGTTCGCGCGAGGAGTGCCTGACCTTCATTGGCCTTGTGCCAACGACCACCCCGTCCATCTGGTAGACAGCCGAATTCGCCTCGTCCTTATCCAAGAAGTGTACGAAACCGAAGCGCTTGGTCGAACCGGTCTCCTTGGGAGTTTCCTCAGCGGCTTTGTCGTTCAGGATTCTAGCTGAAGCGACAGTCTCGAATCTCCTCGAGAAGACCTCCACCAAATCCGAGGCTTTGACGTTGTTGTCAAGGTTACCGCAATAGACAGTGACGCCTCCAGTGAACGCGGGGGTGCATTTGCCGATGCTCATGATCGCCCGATTGACCCGAAGCTGGTGCCCGTCCTCGGTTGTGAACAGCTTGCCATTGAGGCCCTCGATAAATCCATTCGCTTGCTCTGGGGTGGCAAACTGTACAAAACCAAACTTCAACCTGGCGTTTGTGCTCTTGTCGCGGGGCAGCCTCACCGACGTCACCTCTTGGCGGCGCGCAGAAGGGGGCGCGGTGAAGCGGGGCGGCCTTGCGGGAAGGTCGGGGGATTCTCGGAAGGGCACGGCCCCGTCTTAAGGCTTCTCGGAAGACTTCCTGTCACACAGTATGGCTTCTGATAGGCGGGATGCCTTTTTGGGAAGGCTGTCAAACTCGCCCCCACCCCCTTGCGCGTGCTGCCAAACCTCGCCGTACTTCTTGAACGTCTCGGCCATGAATACGTCGTCCATCCAATCCTGCGTGTCGCCGACCCAGATGGACCCACGGTCAGTTGGCCACCCCACGCGCCAGGGGGCCCAAAGAAACACAAACATGCCCTTCAGATGCTAGGCGAACTGTCAAAATGGTAACGACAGTATTGCATTACGTGTGTTACTGATTTCTGGCCTCTTCAGGAGTCTCTTGAGCTGTTCCTGGGACCCCCTGGCCATCAGGCAGTCCAACGGGCCGTGGACATAGAGCGGGGGTCCATCAGTCCGGACACGAGCGACATGTTCGGGGAGAGACAACAACCTCGCAGCACTTGCGCAGGAAGCGCCCCGACCAGACTTGAGCCACTCGAGCTCGCGACGGACCCTCCTGAGGGCACCCGCGTCACCCAGGTTCGCGCTTCGCGTCCTGCGCGGGGCGGCGCGTGGTAACCTTCGCGCTTTCTCGCGCGGACGGGTCCCCCCTGAGAGAACTGCAACTCTGCAGCCCAGGCTACGGACCAGATGCGCGATTGTCTTCACTCTCTCCTCGAGCAACCCAAGGCACCAGCACCTCCCAACTGCACCTCGGGTATCAATCATCCTGGGGCCTCTCGTCAAGCTTGTGATAACCTGTGGGAATATCCTGGTGCCTCTTCTGTCTTCCTTGGGCCTTCTGTGGCCCTGCCCTGAGGTGTCATGCGCTTCTCACTTCCTCCTCGAATGTAGTGTTCACGAAATCCCTGTCTGCATGCAAGAACGCGCACCTGCAACAATAACCAATGATGAATTGATGTCCTTTTGCCCCTTAAGCCGATCCAGCTACAGTGGAGGCCAGTCGACAAGAAAACTTCCACAAGAAACCCAGCCCTGAGACCCCAGGACGTCCATGAATTTTTGGTACGGGAGCGTCACGCTTTCCGTCGTAGAACCATCGAATTCTTTATTCGGCGTTTCAACATTGGGCGGAAAGGGGGGGAGGAGAAAGGGTCTGGCTCCGGACCTCTGCTTCATGCGACCGTTTGGAACCGCGCAAACCTATGGGGGGGAGGCTCCGCCTGCTCGAAAGAGACTCCCCAAACGACCAAGATCTACTCCAAGGAGGGGGGGGGGCGACGGGGGAGGTTCGAGGGCCCGCGCCGGTCGGCAAAACAATGCATAACAAAACGACCACCAGGGCACCCTGGGGGCAAGCAGGTTGCTTCTTGGCATGGGCCTCCACTGCACGGGCCCCCGTCAAGAGTCGGAGGCGCGCAACCATGGACTGGCGATCCGTGGATCTGGCGCGCGGCCGCCGGATCCATGGATCGGGGGAGGTGCCCTCCCCGAGGTGCGGCCGGTGCCGCCTCGCTCGGCGGCGGAAACCCGCGATGTCCCGCGGAAACGGGACCAGCCGCTGAGCCACGCCCCCTTGAGATCCACGTCTGCGATCGTCGGAGTACTTACGGGCCCCCGTCGAGAAGACCCTGGACGTCCATGGGTTTTTGGTGCGGGAAGGTCGCGCCGTCCGTCGTGGAGCCCTCGGAACCCGAGCGAAGCCCAGGGGGGCACTCCAGGGGAGGGGGGGGGCAATGCCAGGCGCTTCCTGGCACGGGCCTCCGCTGCACGGGCCCCCGTCGAGAGGACCCCGGACGTCCACGAGTTTTTGGTGCGGGAAGGTCGCACCGTCCGTCGTGGAGCCCTCGGAACCCGAGAAAAGTCCAGGGGCACCCGGGGGGGCAATGCCAGGTGCTTCTTGGCATGGGCCCCCGCCCCCCCTGAGGGAGAGCGAGCGGGAGGGGGGGGGCGGGCTCCGGGGGAGGCACCTCCCAAGGCCGCGCTGACGGCGATGTTGGCTCACGGCGACGTGGGGAATCTGGCTTTCGTGACGCCGAGCTCGCGCAGAACAAACTGTAAGAGATCACGACGCACACTTCCCTACACTTCAATCGTGCGAATACATCGAGCGAAAACCAGCACAAACAACCATGCCCTACAATTGGTTTGGCCACGAACCAGTCCCACCTACAATGCTGAAGCCTACATCGCCGTTACCTACATTGCCATTAGCGCGTCTGCGGACATCGGCCTGGAATCGGCGATCCACTCCCGATACAGCAGGGGCCCGACCACCAGAAACCTTCCACAAGAAACCCAGCCCTGAGACCCCAGGACGTCCATGAATTTTTGGTACGGGGGCGTCGCGCTTTCCACAGCAAGACCATCGAAACCCGAGAAACCCAGGGCACACTGGAGACAAGCAGGGTGCTTCTTGGCATGGGCCTCCACTGTAGATCGGCGACGGGCCCCCAATAGCGAGCCCGCGCCCTCACGGGCGGGGTGGGGGCCATCGGGCCCCCATCGGCGAGGAATGGGCGCCTGGGGGTCGGTGCGCTCCCCCCCAAGCCTAATTATCCCTCCCCCTGACGTGGCGCCGCTGCGGGAAGGCATCCCGAGGCTGCAAAAAACCGCGGGAAACCGACGAGAACGCCCGAAAACCTCGAACCTCGAATCGGAAGTCTCTGGAGCCCCCCCCGTCGTTGCCACTGATCCCTCCCCTCGCCAGGAGGAGAAGACAGGCGCGGCCAACGCAGACTGCTGGCTCTGAGCCCGCAAACGCTCGTGTGGCTTGAGGTGGGCTCGTGTGAGCGGGCGCTCCCCGGTTTCGACGCTGCGCGCACGCGTGCGCAGAAGAGTGCACAAGTTACGCATAGCCATCGATCTGCGCACGCCCTGGTTGCTCGGGGACTTACCGCCTCGTCGCTGCGCGCGAGACCGTGATCGCCAGAAGAAGGTGTGTGTGTGTGTGTGTGTGTGTGTGTGTGTGTGTGTGTGTGTGTGTGTGTGTGTGTGCGTGTGACGGTGAATTGATCAGTCACCCTGTGTGGGAGAATGCTTTACACCAATGATCCCAGTAAGAATCGGACCAGGCAGGCTGGTGCTGGAAGATGGGCACAACCAGGCGCAAACACACACACACAGACACACAAACACACACGCACACACATACACGCACACACCAACGTATACTCTTTAAGTGCATAGCCGTCACGCCGTGCACGAGAGGATAATGCATAGCCAAGCTCTTCAGATCCTGGGCATTAGAGGCCTCCTAGATGGGGTCGGAGTAGATCGGGTCGGAGGATCGCACCGCATCGCCGATGCATCGGCGATGTACCGGCGACGCAGCCGCGACGTCGCCGACTCATCGGCGACGTCCGCGTGAAGCAAATCGGGCTCCGCATCGAGCCGCATCGGCGATGCATCGGCGATGCGGCGCGATCCTCCGAGCCCATCAACTCCGACCCCATCTAATTAGGAGGCCTACAGTCGGGCTTGATTGGAGAGGACTCGCGAGAGGACACAAGACCCTTCCGAGGGCCACGTTGCCACAGAAATGCAGGAGGCATGGGTCGCAAGACACAGGCCACGAGGGCCCCCTTGATCTGGCAGGGCCGACCTACTGATCCGGGCCGCCCGTAGAACACCATCGCTCCGTGCACGTGCCGCCGCCGTGGTGCGACGAGGGACGCCGCGCACGGAACGTGGTTTAGTAAAAACGACCTGAGGCCCAAACCTGGCGGGCGCAAGCCTGGAAAATGACGGCCGCGGCGCCCCCTCGTGAACCGAAAACGGACAATTCACTAATCGACGTGTCCCTGTTGGGGGTTCTCCACCCCCGATACTAATCCGGGCCGCCTGTAGAACACCATCGCCCCGTGCACGTGCCGCCGCCGTGGTGCGACGAGGGACGCCGCGCACGGAACGACATAGGCTTCTCCCTGGCCAAGTGCGAGCCTCGGCCCCGGGGAGCAGCCCGGAAAGCCGGAGCCCCTCCGGAGCCCAGAGCTTGCCGTCGCTATAGGACGTCCATTGTGAGCGTTTTTGTTGTTCGGCTTTTCGACACTCTGTGCCTTTTTTGGTTTCGTGCGTCTTTCTGTTCGGCTTTCGGTTTTCGACATTATGTTCGGCTTTTTGTTGGCCCTCGCTCGGACGTCCATTCCCTGTGCTTTTCTCGGTTTCGTGCGTGGTTTTGTCGCAGGATGCTCCAGGATGCTCCTCAAGGATCCCCGCCGAGAAGAAGGGCACACGTCCGAGCGATACCGAGCATTGGGCGGGAAGGGAGGGGGTGGGGGGGTCTGGCTCTGGGCCTCTGCTTAGCGCGACTGTCTGGAACCGTGCGCCCCCTGGGGGAGACTCCACCTGCCTGAAGCAGGCGCCAAAAACAGCCCAGATCTGCTCCCCTGGGGGGGGGAAGGGGGGGGGGTACGAGGATCCGCACCGATCGGCAAAACAACGAATAAAAGAAAGATCATTTTCCCCTGGCACTGTTTCCGCTTCGTGCGTATTTTTGTTGCTCTGTTGTTCTTTGCTTGGTTGTTGTGCACGGCACTCGCCGAGGGAACGTGCACACGTCCGAGCGATGCCAAGTTCTTGGCGGCGAGCGATGCCAAGCTCCCGGGGCAGGGCTTCTCGGGAGCCCCGGAGGGCCTCCAGCCTTCTGAGCAGCTTCGTGAGCCCTCGCCGAGGGCACAGACGGCTTCTCCGCAGGCGCGAGGGCTTCTGGGAAGCCCCGGCCGCCACCCGAGAGGGGCTGCCCCCCTCTAGAGGAACACCACGCGGCATAAGCATGAACTTTCGGCAGCCCGCGCGGACCGCCGACGGTTTATGTCTATGCAGCTGTGCGATCTTCGACGCTCTCACTTCGCCCTGGGCTCGCCGTCGAATTTCAGCAGCTTGACTGTACACGCATAGCCAGCCTCGAACGTGTCCCTATCCCTCGAATCGACAGATCAAAAGACGATGACAATCTGACGGATGCGCCCTCGAAAACCGAGGGATTCCTGAAGATCGTCGTCGAGAGAAGGCGGTGCCAAGCATTGGTCGGCGGCGAGCCCATGGGGGAGGTTAGAAGGGGCGGGCCTTCTCAGAATGCTCGGAAATACCCACGCCTTCTGAGAATCCTAAAACCTTCACCGAAGACGCAGAAAACCTCTCGGAAGCCCAGGAGGGCTTCTGAGAAGCCCCCGCCGCCTTCTGAGAGCCTCCTCCTCCTTCTCACCTACCCCCCCTCGCTCGCCGCCGAGATGGGCGGTGCGCATCCCCGCGGGCAGCGGCGGGCCTTGTCCAGGTCGCCGCACCTCGCCGCCTCGGCCAGATCCGCGGCCAGGCCCACCTGGGCCTCCAGCCACCGAAGGTCCGAGAACTTGTCGGCCATCTCCGAGCGCGCACGCGCGCGCCGAGGCAAGACGAAGGTAGAGTCGAGACCAAATCGGACCGATATGAATCGGAAATCTCGGAGAATCGGCGGGTATGGAGGATGTATCGGGCGCTGCGGCCGCTTCGTTTCGGAGCGTTCCGTAACGCTCTGGAACGGATTCGTCTCGATTCCAGGCCCGTCCGACGAAGGAAGGCGGCGAGCCCCTCGACGCACCATCTCTGGTGTTTTTTTTTCTGGGGGGGCGCGCTAACATGGATTATGGATCCGTGGATCTGGCGCGCGTGGGCGAGCCACGGGCGTGCGCGCGTGGATCCGTGGATCCGAGCCACGGGCGTGTGCGCGCGCCAACATGGACTATGGATCCCTGGATCTGGCGCGCGCGAGCGCGGATCCGTGGATTACGGATCCTCGGATCGGGCAGGGCACCCACCGAAGCATCGGGCTGGTGCCGCCTGGCGTGGCCACGGAGCGCGGCGATGCTGCATGGAAGCAGGACCCATCCCCAATTAGAGGCCCCCTAGATGGGGTCCGAGTAGACGGGATCGGAGGATCGCGCTGCATCGCCGATGCAATCGTCGACACTGGCGGTGCATTGGCGACGTCAACGAGGAGAAAGTCGGGTTCCACATCGAGCCGCATCGACGATGCATCGCCGATGCGTCGGCGATGCGGCGCGATCCTTCCAAAGACGCGCTAACGGCGATGTTGGTTAACACCGATGTTGGGAATCCGACTTTTGTGACGGCGAGCTCGCGCAGAACAGATGGTAGGAAAACACGAACCACTCTTTCCTACATTCCAAATGTGCGAATGCATCGAGCGAAAACGGCGCAGCGAATTGTAGGAAGGCGCGAACCACGCCTTCCTACAAATGGCTTGGCCACGAACCGCGCTTTCCTGCAATTGCATGTCCTACTTCGCCGTTGGCTAACGCACCGTTGACGCGTCTGCGGCCCTTCGACCAAATCGTCACGGACCCCATGTGGGAAGCCTAGGACCACCCGTTTCCTCCCGAGGAGGGCCAAGTCGGGCCCCACTGCTCTCGGCCCCGCCCGTCCCGGGGAACGGCCCTGGCGACTTGCCGCTGGGGCGCTCGCCGTGGGGGACTCAAGGGCCGTGTCCGCCCTGCATGCTTTCCCCAGGGGCCGTAGGCGACCCGAGGAGGAGGAGCAGGAGAAAGAGGAGGAGGAGGAGGAGGAGGAGGAGGAGGAGGAGGAGGAGGAGGAGGGAGGAGGGAGGAGGGAGGAGGAGGAGGAGGAGGAGGGAGGAGGGAGGAGGAGGGAGGAGGAGGAGGAGGAGGAGGAGGGAGAGGAGGAGGAGGGGAGGGAGGGAGGAGGGAGGAGGGAGAGAGGAGGGAGAGGGAGGGAGGAGGGAGGAGGAGAGGAGGAGGAGGAGGGGAGGAGGAGGAGGAGGAGGAGGAGGAGGAGGAGGAGGAGGAGGAGGAGGAGGAGAGGAGGACAAGACAAGACAAGAGCACTTACGAGCCAATTGGTCGCTGTCTTGCTGGCTGGGAAACCTAAAAAGGCTTGAAATCAGTTCAACTGAGAATATGGATATGGCTCTGTGAGCGCTGTGTGTTAGCGCCTACCAGCGGCCCTGCGGGGGGATTCCTCTGGCCTACAGAGGGACCAGACGGGGGCAAGCCGCCCCTCAGAGGCCCTCCAGAAGCACCTTATCCCCTGAGAGCTCTAGGTGCGAGTCAAGAGGTCGCAATCCTACAATATATTAGCTTTCTGATGCGGCCTGCGTGGGGTCAGGCGCCTGTGGAGGTTGAGAGGGCGGAGCGAGCAGGGGGAAGGGGGAAGGGGGCTCAACCGAGGAGAGAGGTAAATCACCACGCATCTGTCGGACCCGAGAGGACCTCTGGAGCAGGGTTATAATATCTAGACAGGGCTCCACTGGGGTTCCGATCTGATGAAACATATAGAACTTCCTAGTGCCTGCTGAGTACTCTAGGATGGGCTTGGCGGGTTCAGCCTGCAGCTTAGCAAGCGCCTCATCATTCAGAAGTCCATTTTTCAATAGCTCGAGCATCCGCTCAGATCCAGAGATAGAAACCAAACGAGCTACTTCTTGTGCACCTGCTTCTGGACGGCTTCGTTCGACAGCCCGATGCGATTCAATAGTTTCTCTGCATCCCTCTCCATCGCGCCTCGCGGCGCTGATCCTGGTTTGAACTGGCCCCCCTGCGCTTCCACTGCTTGCGACAGAGCCTCGTGCAACGTGAGAAGCTCCTGGCTGTCCTCCTCGCGTAGGACCAACGTCTGCTGAGCTGGAGCCACCATGAACTGTAACTTGAACATCTGGGGGTCTGAGTGCTGCCTCTTGTCGTAGTGGCAGGCCCTGAGTCGAAGGAACCTCACGTGCTCTTGTACGTGTCGTAGCGCTGTCTGCTGCGGTAGCTTCACCACGATGTTCCAGTATCTGACCAGCGTGGCCTTGGCTCTGGGTGGAACATCTGTCGCTTCCTTGACCAGGTAGAATAAAAGTCCGAGAAATATCTGTGGCCACGGCGGGCCCAAGCCATGATCTTTGCCCTTCTCTTTGCACTTTACGTTGTAGTCCTGGCCTGCCGCCTGGATGATCGGCACCATGCCCGCTGTGGGCGGAACCAAATAGCATGCGAAACATGCGCCTATGAGCTCCGCCAACTCGCGGCTGTTGTGCAAGGCGAGGCGGCACAAGATGGTGATGAGCGCCGCTAACGCAGAGCCCGCGCCCTCCTGGTTGCTGATGACTTCCTCCTGTAACTTGGCTAGCTTCGTGTCCTTCTGTGAACTGCCTTGCCCCGCTTCTGGTCCTCGTTTGCCTTGAGGCTTCATGAACCAATCTGGATTTGCTGCTGCCTCCGCCATCGTCGACGACTGGAAGAAGAGTGAAATGCTGCCTGACGTGGAGAAGTAGTGCTGGTGTCGAATCAGTTTGAGCCTCACACAACGGACATTCGAAGGTCGTACTCGCGCTGGGCTGGTAGGTCGAACTTCTAGCATACACACACACTCCTGTCTTAAAGCTCTGGCACACGTGCTTGTAGGCCGAATTCCTAGATTCGAAGACACTCTCGCAGACGAAGCACTGATTAGAAAAAATAGCTTGTCCAAGAATCGACCTGAGTCCATGATGGTTCTGAAGATGAACGAGGAGCTGACGCATACTATGAAAAGCACGACCACATAAGTGAACGGGGCATCGATAGTCAGCTAGCGTATTAGATTCAGTATGCTGGTCAACTACATTGCTCGAGTAGGGTATTTGATAGCCAGGAGGGGGTATAGCGATGCCAAGCCATTTTGCTCTGATAACCTTGGGGTCCAGGAGAGTGAACCAGTCAACGAGCTCAGGGGTGCTGAAGAGGCGGAAGGGCATTTTGTTAAACTCCTGGATCTTTTCGTACTCGTTGTCTCCTAGGTCCTCAAGCGAGACGATGTCGTTTACGAACCGACGGGCCCAGGGGCAAGCACATTCCGAGAGTTGTCCATTTTCGTTGATAATGCAAAGTCCCTCCTCCTCCTCCACTCTCATAGTTCCCAAGAGGGCCCCCCATTCAGATTTGTGTTTTTGAGGATCTCTCACCCAAGACTGATACCATTTGATACGCCTGGCACGATATTCTATTTCAAGAGGCGCAATCCGCCAGTACCTGAACACATCATCATTCGAGACTGAAACCATGTGGGTACCTGTGAACTTAGCGGCCTCACCCCTCATGGCTTTCCTGGCATACAACAAAATACGTGTCTGGATCTTCTCAAGCTGAGTAGACGTTGGGATAAACGCTTCCAAGCCCGACAATGCTGGGCCCAAGATTCGACTGAGGAAGACTGTCCTTTTTTCAATGTACGGCAAGCGGTCCTGATACCAATATCTTCCCATTGCTGCAAACCCTGCATCAATAGCTTCCAACCTGCATGGGAGCTCGCTGGCGAAGGTGGAGTCCGCTCTGAGAATGCCTCCCAATAGTCGTGCTCGATCTTGGGCCCGGCCTGCCAGAGGTAGTTGCCCGTCTCGGAAACGTCGTCGAAGTGACTGCGAATTGGGGCCAAACACCGCCACCATGGTGGTGTCGCTTTGCGCTTCGGTGCTGTTCTGAAGTGCTGCCCTATGAGCTTGAGCTTGTCGCGAGCCCAGTCGAGCCCCTGCTGTGACCATGGCGAAGTGATATCCTGATTTTCAAGTCCTTCAGGGCCGTAAAGATAATCATCTACATGTGCTTCCCAACTTGGAATAAGATCCGCTTCCATGCCTCCTTCACCAGATGAAAGTTGGAATCTCCTCTGCAAATCTGTCGATGTTGGGAGTGCCGATACAACTCGTTTGTAATTTCGCTTGCGAGGTCCAGTGCCTCTTGCAGATAAAAGCCTCGAAAGCCTCGCAACTTCTGCTTTACGTCCCTGCTGATAAGCTTGTAGAAGTTCTGCTGTTACGTCTTGTCGCCAGGCCACCAAGTGTTGTCGCCGTTGCTGTCGCTGTCGTTTTGAGAGATCCCGTAGTTGTTGACATAGTGCTGCTTCTCGCTGCTGTAGGTCGTCTGCAGGAGTTGTGGGATCAGAGGTGACGTCGTGAGTGTTATTTGTTGACTGTCGTTCTGACCCCCAGTTTGATCGAGCTTTGTCGAGCATAGGCGCAGACGAGGGGTGCCCGAAGCCACAAGGCTCCACGGTGGGAGACATGGCCGCATCAGTGGCCTCAGGCGCCCTGGTAGAGACGTGTCTCCCCAGGGGGATGGTCGCCTCCCAAGATGGGTCCTGCTCAGCATTCTGACTGGGGTGGCGTGGTTCGGCATGGCAAGAGCCTGCTGCCTTACAAGAGTTGCATTCAGCGAGTGCAGCAAGTTGTACACGTAGTTCGCGTCGCTGCTCAAGTAGCTGTAGTGCTTGATCGGCGCGTTGCTTGTATCCAGCTGCTGGTTCAACAGAGGAAGTAAAAAACTGCTGTGCCTCCTGCGCCATCACCTGCAAGAGATCAGCCCATTCATGATTAGGTGTCTGCTCTTCTCGCCGAATTTGTTGATGCTGAGCTGCTTCTCTATTGAGTCGGTTCTCGACGGCCATGAGAAATTCAGCGCGGTGAGTACCTCTACGCAATGCGTCCATAAGTGCCTCACGATTCCATTTGATGGGTTGATAAGCGAAGCCGTGTCGCAATGCGGACTGCATATGAGTTGCCAGCCCAAGTACCGCTTCCAGCGAGTATTGAAGTCGAACGTGTACTGGAATGTGGTCACGATGATACCGAGAAGGTATTGTCTGCAACTCCGTCGCTAATCTACGCAAAGGTCCTGCACTGGTAACCGCCGAGATCAGACATCTTGGTACGAGAATGAAATCCAACTGTGAGCTGGTGCCAGTAGAACTGTAAAAGGTAGGTCCTCCCCCTCGAAAGGTGTTGATGGGTACCAGATCCAGTTGTTCAAGTAAAGGCAGTAAAATGTCAGCTGCATAACGTTGACGTACTGCTGGTGCTGCTGATCCGATACACTGAGAAGAAATCGCAGTCCATTCCTCCTGCCCTGGTGCTCGTTGAAGTCCAAATCCTGAGTTGAGGTCCAAGCACACTATCGGTAGGCATCTATGCGCACACCAAAGAGGTAACCGCTGCAGCCATTTCACCAACATATCGCAAGTACGATGGTAAGCTGGAATGCTGCGCGCATGATGTGGGGGAGGAGGAAAGTACAGACTACAGATGCCGAGGTCGAACTGCTTGCTCTTTGCCCTGATGGCCAGGCCACGCCCAGCTGCTGCTTGAGGAGCCGTCCAGACGCCGACGATGTTCCTGCGGGGGATACGTGGGCCCAGGATGATAGCGCATCCTGCAGATTTATTCGAGTAGGGACCTCGCTTCCAACCATGTGAAACACACCAACGTTTGGGCCCTGCTCGTCGCCATTGCGCTACCTCCTGTCCCTGCTGCTGTTCTGCTGTACCATTCAAGCAAACGAAATCCATATTGCCTGTGCTGAGGGCGATCTCATGCAATCTAGTCGGGCAGCTGGATGAAAGTGGATTATATTGCAAGATCGAGACATGCTGCGTCATGGACGAGGCCAGCGGCCGCCGTTGTACTGTTCACTGATGCACGAGTGAGATGCAATGCAACGTTAGCAGAACATGACACAATTATGAAGTGCAGAAGGGTGCTGGTAGGCTACGTTAGCGGATGGGTGGATGAAAAAGCGCCCAAGCCGAGAGCACTTGGAGAGGAGGAGGAGGAGGAGGACGGGTCGCCTCGGCGTCGGAGGGGGGCAAGAAGACACACTGCTTCGGGCTCGGCCCGCAGCAGTTTGTCTCGTCTTGCCCTGTCCGTCCGCGACGCTGGAGGTCTAGGGAAACGAACAATGGCATAAACACAAAAACTCGGAGGTCCGCGCGGATTTCTCGGATCGGCGCTGGGGCCCCCTGGCGGCGCCTTCGGCGCCGCCCCTGGCGCGCTCCGCGCGCCAGGGAGGGGGGTCCAGCGCCGATCCGAGAAATCCGTCTGGACCTCCGAGTTTTCATGTTCATGTCATAGGTCACCCATCAGCCCTCGCTCGAATCCCAAGATCAGCTCCCAGACCCCATCCTCGGCACCGCAGGGCCCCGTGTCCCGAATCGCGCCGCGCCAGGCCACGCGGCAGCAAGCCCCCCCCCCCCCCCCCCGGGCCAAGCGGGCCTCCCCCCCGGCCGCCGCCCTCATCAGGGTGCCTCGTCCTCCTCGCCCTCTTCCTCGTCCTCCCTCCTCGTCGTCTCGTCCTCCTCCTCGTGCCCCCTCCTCGTCCTCCTCCTCGTGCCTCGCCCTCCTCCTCGCCCTCCTCGCCCTCCTCCTCGCCCTCCTCCTCGCGTGCCTCGCCCTCCTCATCAGGAGAAGCGGCATGAGCTCTCGGAGGTCCTCGCGGGCTTCTCGGATCGGCGCTGGACCCCTCCCCCTGGCTCAAGAGGCGCGGAACGGTCCAGGGGGCGGAGCCGGAGGCGCCGCCAGGGTGAGGAGACAACTCCTGGAAGGACCTCGTAAGAGAAGACTAGAAGCTCTTAAACCCGAGTCAGGGGCAAGTGAGCCAAATTTTGTCCACATGGCGCTCAATAGCCAGCGGGAGTGAGCGGAGATGGCAGGGCTTCCGGCGGAATGGGCCGCAGTGGATACCAGCGCCGATGCTGAATCGTGACCTCCCAAGAGTTGCATCCTGACTGATGTTCGTTCCGTTTTTGCTTCGCCGACCCTCGCGGGGTCCGGGCGCCTGCTCGGCCAGCTCGGTATCCTCGGCCACGCTGGCGCGCTGGAGCCAGTCGCACCGCTCCTCTGCGGCACGAGACAAACTGCGGGGGGGCACGGCCACCCCGATCCGCGACTTCGTGGGAGGTTCGGACGGGCCAAACATTCGGGGCCCAACTCGGGGATATACGACGGGAGGGGGCGTCCGTCCTCGAGAGGGGTGCGTCCGAATAGCCCCCCAGGGGTGTATCCCCGAGTTTCCCCCTTTTCTATGGGACGCACAAGGACATACTAATACTGTATGTCCTCCTTGGAGACGCGCGTCCGGCCGAACAGGTCTACCCATCTTGTAGAAGATCGTCTCCCGAGCACTTTTGCCAGAAAGCGCCCCACATAGTAGAAGTATGCTGGGGTGACGCCTCTTCTGAGCGGTTTGATTTTCGAGCGGAGCTCGGGGTTGGGGGCGAGGCATCGCCTGGGACAAACGTCGGGGATGGACAGACCCCCCTTTAGCAAAACGTGGTTTAGCGAAAACGACCTGAGGCCCAAACCTGGCGGGCGCAAGCCTGGAAAATAACGGCCACGGCGCCCTCTCGAGAACCGAAAACGGACAATTCACAAATCGACGTGTCACTGTTGGGGTTTCTGTCCACCCCCGAAAACGGGCCCCCGAGGGGGGCACGTGTCCTGGGCCTGCGGGGCAGGCAACCCCTGGTCCACAGCTTCTCGCCCAGAGCTGCTTCTTGACGGCCCCTGGAGGGGACGACACGAAACCGACACAAATTAGTGCGTCAGGGACGCCCCTCCCCCCCGCCCCACTGAGCATCGGTTGCCCGATCCCCATCCCCACCAGCGGGGGCTGGGCCCCACTGGCCGATTTGCCCCGCTGGATGGGGATATAAGCTGCTCTCTTCGGGTTTCGAGGGGCAGATCCCTAATTAGCTGGAGCAACGAGATGGTGGAGGTCGGGATGGGGATGAGGATGGGGACCGATTAAACGATACTGACCATTCCACTAACCGGAACTGCCTCCACTCGAAGAATCACCAGCTACGGCAGGCCTGGTTCAGTGATTATCTGTTTCGGGAGGCTTCGGGGCCCAATCACTAGCTAACCTTATGTTGCTCCCATCGTACTTCAACACCACATCCCATCGCACTGAATGATCAAAGCTAAAAAACGGTTGGAACATCATAGAACTAACCGGCTCCCGTTACCCTGGGCCCTGGCCACGTCCGAACGCCAGGCATCCGCGGCCTCGCGGGCCAAGCCCCTGGGCCGCGACCCCGTGGATGCGGGGCGCTGCGCGGAACGTGTCCGTGCGACCGCGTACCCGCGAGATCGCGCCCCTTTTTTGGTAGGTGGATCTCTCGAGCTCTCCGCCGCCTCTGGCGGTGTGCGTTGCGAGCAGGAGCACAGCAAAGCCACTGAAAGCGCGGTATTGACAGTGTAGCTCCGCACACGTTGCAAACGTTAACGAACAAAAAACAATCCAAACCGCGAGGGCCCGGATACGGGCAGGTTCGCCGCTCGTGAGTAGCGCTATTCCCAATACCTCTCCTTGGTCGCCTTCTGGCCAGGATTGCGAGGCGAACCCAGCAGTGGTGACGAGAGCAGGGTACAGTCAAAACTGATCTCAAGGATGCGCGATAAGGATGCAATGGCCTTGGACGCCAATGCCGAAGCGTTTCGAGCGGGGCTGGCCATCGAAAGTGGTCAAGGAGGGACCGAAGAGGCAAGGATGCAAGGCGGGTATCCTTGGGGAGGTAATCCATCCTTACCATCGGTTTCCACTGGCGAGGCATCGGAAGATATCTGCCTCTCCCGCATCCCGCGGAGCACCCAGCGGATGCCAACACACAGAGCCAAGCCGTACAGGGCAGGCTGCCCTCAGGGGCCCTCTGCTTCACTCCAGGGGAAGGCGAAGCGAGAGGAGGCAGGCCTCCTCGAAAGGCGGCGGGGCTTTTCTCAAGCCCCCCGGCCCGCTGAAACACCTTTTGCGTTCTCACAGCGGGCCCGAACAATTTTTCAGAAGGCCAGAGGCCGCCTGAGCCTCCATCGGGCGATGGCAAAACGGGGGTTAGTGGGATCTGGTTTAAAGATCTGTACCGGGGACGCCCCCCCCGTCCCATTCCACTACTCAACTCAGAACTGCCGTCACCCGCGAAAAGTACACGCTACGGCAGACCTGGCTTAGTGATTCCAATCTATATTTTGAGCCTCTGGGCCCATCCACTAACCGTCTCCCCTTGTCTGGGGTCCTGGCTACACCAGGGGCCTCCTAGATGGAGCCCGAGTAGATGGGGTCGGAGGATCTCGACGATGCATCGGCGATGCATTGGCAATGCATCGGCGATGTCGGCGGTGCATGGTCGACGCCAGCGAGAAGAACATCGGGCTCCACATCGAGCCCCATCGCCGATGCATCGGCGATGCTGCGCGATCCTCCAGCCCCATCTACTCGGACCCCATCTAGTAGAGGAGGCCTAGATGCACCCGACTTGAGCAGGCCCGCCCCCGCAGGGCGCGTCGCCGACGCACGGCGAGCTCCTGCACGTCGATCAGCCCGAGCTGCGGCCGGCCGGGGCCGAAGGCCCCGCGGAGGCGGTCCTCGTAGCCCTGGCGCTCGGGGGGCGCCCGCTCGGCTCGGCGGTGGACAAACCTAACTTTAAGTAAACCTCCCCTCAGTGAAAACTGCCTGGGACCGAAACCGACGGACCTGGACCCGCAAAAATGACGGCCGCGGCGCCCTCTCGCGAACCGAAAACGGCCAATTCACTCATCGAGGTGTCAAGGTGGAGGTCTGTCCATCCCCGATCGGCGTGCCGGGGCATGGGGGGGGCGGCCTTCCTGGGCACATCCGGGCAGCGGCGGCTTCCGGGGGGGGAGGGAACTCGGAGCTCGGAGCTCGGCGGTCCGCGAACATCGGGGGGAGCGACGGGGAGGGCAGCAAAGGGTATAGGGCAGAGAAGCAGCTCGCGGGGCTGATTTTCCCAGCGCCTCCCGGCGCCGGGAGGCGCCCGTGTATCGAGGAGTGGGCCTGGCGGCGGGGCCGAAAGCAGCCGCGTGCAGCAGATGTCGTACCCCCCCCTCTCTTCCTTCTCCCCCCCTTTCGTTCGGCCCGAAACCCGGAACTCGGCGGTCCGCGAAAAGATGCCAGAAGGCAGCGTGGCTGGGGGTGCGCGCTACGCAGAAGGCGCCGCGCGGGGGGGACGGGGGGAGAACGGGGAGGGGGGGGGGGAAAGGGAGGGGGGGAGCAAGGGAGGGGGGGAGAAAGGGAGGGATGGAGAAAGGGGAGGGAGAAAGGGAGAAAGGGAGGGGGGAGAAAGGGAGGGAGAAAGGGAGGAAGGGAGGGGGGGAGAAAGGGAGGGAGAGAGGGAAATGCTGTGCAGAACGGTCTGTGCGGCCATGGCGGGCTCGGCCGCGGGCGCCGGCTGGGGTCACACTGGGCGCGGGGGCCTCTGGTGATGTCAGCGTGGGGCTGCCCGGCAGCCCCGGTGGCCGGCTGCGCGGGCAGACATCGCGGCGAACATGGCACAGCGCCTGGCAAAACATGTTGGACGCCCGAGATGGGCACGGAGAGAATGGGCACAGTGCCCAGCAGCAAATGCTGCCCCGAACCAACAGCGGCCGCTGTTGGGCAGGCGGCCTCATGTCATGAGCGGACACAGGCCGCGGCGGCGCGGACAGCGCATCCGGTTCAACATGAACAGGAACTGCTGTTGGGCATCGTACCCATTCTTTCCGTACCCATTTCGTTCGTGCAGAAATGAAAGGGAGTCAAACAAATACTTGAGAATGATCCCAAATAGCCAGAAGATCACCCCCAGACTTTTTTTTTGTGTGTGTGTGTGTGTGTGTGTGTGTGGGGGAATTTTGGATTAGTCTCCCTGTAGAGGAACTGCTGTTGAGCATCGTACCCCTTCTTTCCGTGCCCATCTCGGGCGTCCAGAAACCTACCGCGCACGATACCCGCCGGCCCCCTTGCGGGGCCGCCAGGCTGTAGGGCCGGGGTTTGCTGCTCCCCGCGCCAGTTCAAGTTTCGAGTTTCCAATGTTTTAGTCCTGCTTCTTGCTTCTTACTGCTCCTTGTTGTAGACCGCGCGAGGGGGGGGGGAGCCGCAAACCGCCATTTTTACCACGCCCAGATCGCGTGCTCAGAACTTCTGGGGGGTCGAAATTCATTGGCACCCCTCACGCAGATCGGCGGGCCAAACACACAGGGGGTTTGCCACATTTCTGGCATTCGGTGGCACCCCTCACGCAGATGGGCGGGGTCAGGGTCCGAAAACACAAGGGATTTGCTACATATCTTGAAATTCGGCGGCACCCCTCACGCAGATCGGCGGGGTCAAGGTCCAAAAACAGAAGGGAATTGCTACATTTCTGAAATTCGGTGGCCCCCGTCACGCAGATCGGCGGGGTCACAGTCAAAAAGCAAATAGGATTTGGTACGTTTCTGGAATTCGGTGGCCCCCGTCACGCAGATCGGCGGGGTCAGGGTCGAAAAGTACATGGGATCTGCTACATTTCTGACATTCGGTGGCACCCCTCATGCAGATCGGCGGGGTCAGGGGTCAAAAACACATGGGATTTGCCACGTTTATGAAATTCGGTGGCACCCCTCACGCAGATCGGAAGGGTCAGGGGTCAAAAACAGAAGGGCTTTGCTACTTTCTGAAATTCGGTGGCACCCCCCACGCAGATCGGCGGGGTCACGGTCCAACAACATAAGGGATTTGCCAGATTTCTGAAATTCGGTGGCACCCCTCACGCAGATCGGCGGGGTCAGGGTCGAAAAACATACGGGATGTCATACATTTCTTGAAATTCGGTGGCCCCCGTCACGCAAATCGTCCAAAAACTGAAAGGGATTTGTCATATTTCTAAGATTCGGTGACACTCCTCATGTAGATCGGCGGGGTCAGGGGCGAAAAAACAAATGGGATGTGCAACGTGTCTTGAAATTCGGTGGCACCCCTCACGCAGTTCGGTGGGGGCAGGGTCAACAAAAAACATATGTGATTTGCAAGGTTTCAGTACTTCGTTGGAAAGCTTTTTGCACAGCATACGCGAGCAAGGTCGAAATACAACACCGAATTCAACCATATCACCAAAATCGCAATTTGTCTTGCCGATTACTCACCGTCTTCGCGTGAAGTCCCGACGCTGCTTCACGGCGGCTTGAAGGCCTCATGCTTTCGCTCTTTCATTGCCCATTATCCGAAAGAAGGGGCCGGCTGCAGGGGGCGAAGCCCTTACGGATAACCTCTGGGTTTCTAAAGAAGCGCGGGGGGATACACCGGACTCACTTCTATAGCGCTCACTTCTATAGTGCTCACTTTGAAATTGTGGTCCGGAAGGGGCCGCACATGCAGGCACATGCCGCACAGTCGCATGCACATGCCCATGCACATGTACAAAAGCCTCAACAGCATTGCCGCACATGCGCGCACATGTCACACCGTCCGACGCACAGTCGAATGCACGGTCAAGCAAAACTCTGAAAGCATAGACGCACATGCCCGCACATGCCAAAGAGATGTCGCAGGCGATAGCGGGGAGTGTTTTACTAGGAGGGCACGCCACCGCCAATTCACGAACCGGGCGAAGAACCGCCCCCGCCAGCAGCGGGCTAGTCTAAACGCACAACGAACTCTTTCAGGAAGCCCTGGCACGCCCCAGGTTAGCTCTGCGAAGGCCAGGAGGCATTGGAGGCACAGGGGTCCCAGACAGCTCCTAGGGCATGAGCGTGCATGTGCATTGGGATGTGCACGCATGTGCGCCCGCGCGCTTCACCGCATGTGCGTGCATGTGCGGGCCCGCGCGGCCTCCCGAAGAGAGGTTGCACAGGCATGTGCGTGCATGTGCCGATGACAGATCTGCGATTCTCGAACACCTCCCGCATGTGCAGGCATGTGCGCGCATGTGCGTCGGACTGTGCGTGCATGTGCGTATGATGGATACATCAAGACACAGCGCACATGCCCCCGCACATGCCCGGGCACGACGTGCACAGGAGGAAGTCCATCCGAGAAGGGCCGCACAGGCCTGGCACATGACTGGCACATGCCGCGCACATGACAGCGCAAAAACGGCCGCACATACACCCACCCAGGGGTATAGATGTGAGTGCGGTGTACCCCCCGACGGGGGTCAACCTCGCCTCGTCGTCGCGCAGCGACGGCGGTCGGAGCGCATTTGGCGCGCGGTGACTGCCCGCGACGGGGGTCGATGTGGGGCTGTCGGCGGGGGTGACGCCCCCTGACGCTGATTAATAAACTCGGAGTATACAGTGATCTGCACTGCATTCAGCTGCAAACCCTTGCGATGCTGCGCGATGTCAAGGTTGTGCATGGCACACTGTGATTGCTACAATGCCATGCAGGGAAGACGCAATGCCAGGCTCCGCTATGCTACTTAAGCGTTGCAATGCGATGGCAAACTAAACAGCGCCATGAACAATGCTATGCAACGCTATGGTATGGCATGGTGTAGTGCAAGACGGGATGCGATGTTGCTCGACGCAATGCAATACGATGAAATACAACGCACTGCACTACCACACGATGCAATGATGTGAAATGCGACGCCAAGCTGAGTTGTGCAATACCGTACCATGACAGCAGTGTCGTTAGCTTCAGTGTGATGCTATTCAATGCAGCGCCATGCTGCTATGCCATTATCTGCCAGGCCATGATATGGGTATGCTCGCGCTTCATGCGAATGCCCGATGGTGAGCGCGTGTGCGTGCCATCCAAGCAAACAGGGCCCCCACCCCCTTGGAGAAGCGCTGGGCTCGTTCTCATGACCTTGGCCCAAGAGGCCTGG